ATATATATATGTATATATATATATATATATATATGAAAAAACATAAAAGCCAGGCATACAGTATATGCTCAATAACTATTAGCTTTTTAAAAAAATTACAGTTGACATAAGTGATTAGCTATTTTTAATATCGCAACAAGTAACCCATGACTATGCTAGCATTGCATTGATATCTGCAGCATTCCAGACATTTCATAAATATTTGACTCATTACCTATTGATTGATTCTGCAGCCAACATGCGAACTTGGTGATCATTATCAGCAAGAAATTGTGGAAATACTTCACTTACAGAAAAGGTTTTTCCCGCTGAATTAAGAATAGCCCATTCTGAATAAGGATCAGCCTATGGGAAAAGAACAACTTAGGGTAAATACGAAATACTAAGAAAGAAATCACCCATTAACAAGCAGAAACAAAGGCTGTTTTTAATATTTATGGAAAACTTTCTAACACTTAATGTGGAGTAACTCACCTCAAGCAAAGTTTTCAGGCATTTTACTAGTGCCATTCTTACAGAGAATGTGCATTTCCCCTCCTTGATTAATTGCCTGAAATAAAGTGTTTCAATGTCAAATAATTATTCCAATAGAAGCACAGTAAAAAAAATCACTTCCAAAATTTCTTTCCATGCTAATTTTAATCATTATGTGGCACATGCCAATATTCTCATCTTCCAAAAAGAATTCCATATAAAAGAAATGCTTAGTTCATTTTAATGTATATTATTAGATTTTTATGAATATGTCTGATTTAGCTATCTTACTTCAGTTAACCATGTTATAGTAATCTTAATTTAAAGAGAAACATTTTTAAGTCTTTGTTGTTATATGAAAAATTTAAAAACCATTTCTATATTGATTCTGAAGTCCTTTACAGTCAAATGATATGAGAGCTCTAAATTATATATATGTGCTACTCTATAAGTATCATAGTGTCGTCTCACACTATGATTATATACATGAAATAACCAGATACTGATAAGGCCAATTCCATTGATTTCGACATGATGTACTTTGCTTTATTCACCATACATATCAAACTATTAAGTGATTCAAAATTTGCAGGGAAATACTAAACAGACTTTAGAAAGCCAAGCCTTAAGAAAAATACAATGTAGTTCTTCAAGAAATTAAGGGGAAAAAAACACAAATTACATTTACTATTGTTAAAAGAATATGTAATTACAATTAAGGATTAGAAGAAATCACTAATGCAGAAATGTAAAAGTTACATCTGTATCAGAAGAAGCAAAAAAAAAGAACTCCACAGAATAATCTGTACCTACCAAAATGCTTCAATAACTGTTAGAAACTGTCCTTGAGCATCCTTTGTGTTCTCAGAATCCATATTGCCTTGACATAGGTTCCCCACTAAATGAATGATGTGGTTTAAAATTGTTTTACAAACTTCTTGGTCACGGCGATATAAAGAACACAATTTGCTATGGTAGAAAAAGTTTAACTTTATAAGCATAACAGAACACATCAGTTAGTTTGTAAATTTTAAGTGAACATAACATGGTTTTAATTGCTTACGATAGTGGTTTCAGAAGTTCAACAACATCTTCCATTGGCAAAGGATATTCTTCTCCAGGAAGCTCCTTTAAAAGCACTAGATACTAGGATAGTTGGGTGGGTGGAGGGTAGGGAGTGAGAAATCAATTGTTTTTAAACATGTCATTTACTTAAATAAGTATATATTTAACCACAAAATCATATATTCATACACACAAGCACACACCAGACCAGTGATTTTCTTTAAAAGGCAGTATAGTAAAAAAAGAAAAAAAGCAATTGAGGTCAAACAGAGCTGGATTCAAATCCCAGCACAACTTATTACTTGTGCGGTTAAAAAACTTGCAATGTCACCCAGCTAGTGTTGCTCAGTAGTTGAGCACCAACGCAGGAACCAAGAGGTCACCAGTTCGATTCCCAGTCAGGGCACAGACCCAGGTTGCATGCTCGATTCCCAGTAGGGGGCTTAGAGGAGCCAGCCAATCTATGATTCTCAAATGAACAATATTTCTGTGTCTATATTCCTCTCCCTTCCTCTCTCTTTAAAAATCAATAAAAACGTTAAAAAAACAAAAAAATTGTAGTCATCTGAGCCTTTGTACTCTCACTTGTAAAATGGGGATATAGCATTTATTTAGCCAGATTACTGTGAGGATTAAAGAAAATGAATGTAAAGATCTAACATTTATTGTAGGAATTCAATTAATGATAGTTATTAATTGCTGGGATTAAGTGCCTGAACAAGAATCTAAAACTATATTGTTTCTAACCTCGCACGTACCTTAATTAGAAGAAATATTTTAATATTGCTATTCACCCTTTCTCTATAATAGATTTGTCAACCAAATTCACAATCAACAATGACAGATCGAAACACACGGGTGCGATTGGCGCCAGCGAGCGCTTTACATATAAATATAGATAAACTTGCTTAATTAGACCTGCTTTCTGATGTAGCTAAACTTTTTCCAGTCCAATGAAGCACCCCAACTTCTCTTTCAGGTAATTGTCAGCAACACAGCAGCAAATTATCAACACAAAGCAGATTATTATTGTAGATCACGCAGGGAGAACAAAGGGTAAAATATTTAACTGCAGCAGTGTTTGACTATAGTCTGTGCAGTGAGAAAACCTGAAGTCATTTTCAAGGTCCACCATTTCTTATTTCTTTTCAGTCGGTCACGTTTCTAAGCTTTCTAAATCTCCATTTTCCAGGTAATGAATAGGAAATAGGATTCCACCGAATCTCCTATCTGCCTATTCCAGGACTTCTGTGAGGATCAAATGAGATGAGGCACGGGAAAATGCTTCACAGACATTTGGTTAAATTGTAAAGTGTTTCCACCTGGCTATAAAGCAAGTCGTGTTCCTAGGCCAGTGATGGCGAACCTTTTGATCTCGGCGTGTCAGCATTTTGAAAAACCCTAACTTAACTCTGGTGTCGTGTCACATATAGAAATTTTTTGATATTTGCAACCATAGTAAAACAAAGATTTATATTTTTGATATTTATTTTATATATTTAAATGCCATTTAACAAAGAAAAATCAACCAAAAAAATGAGTTCACGTGTCACCTCTGACACACGTGTCATAGGTTTGCCATCACTGTTCTAGGCTGAAGAAAATCCAAGGAGGCTAGTTGCTAGGGAAAGGAAGCTAGTTGTTGCTATGTGACATCATTATCCGGTGCCCACAGCCACTGTTTCTGGGATGGACTGGGCTGTAGGTTGCATTTTGTACCATGGGGTCTTGGCAGCATTGGCTGCAATTTGGTGGGCTGTCACTCCAGGGTGGTGACGGGGCCTGTATCCCACTTGGGGAAGCCGATTGTTGTTTTGTCAGCGCCAACTCTGCGTTGCCATTTCTCTGTAAATGGCCAGTGCTTGTCACAGCAGCTCCTGTGTTGAGCATCTGCCCCCTGGTGGTCAGTGCATGTCATAGCGACCAGTCAGGCAGTCGGATACTTAGCATATTAGTCTCTTATATATATAGATTACTTTTACATTCAGAATCTGTGTTTCTTGGCCTAATTTAAAGAACTTATAATTAAGTATATCTTAAGATAATAAATCTACCTAAAGTCAATCCAAGTTTTAATGTTTCCATGTCTACTTACATTTTTTTTCCAAGCACTTTAAAGGAAAAAGTGTATTTTATAACTAGTCTCAGATTCATTTATCAAGAAAGCAATTTCAACACTTTACAGGTACTATGTGATTCTGATGTCAATCTATTATCTTCAGCAGCAATGCCAGACAGAACTATAAAGAATCTTCATTTTACTTAACTCACCATGTGTAGGTGGAGAGATTTAGTAAGATCTAGTATACTAGGATCAATTAACATTAACAATTTCCTCCGAATATCAACTGCTCTAAATGACACAGGACTGGTCTGAGCAGTGGTTACGCCTATGCACAAGAACTTGAGCATGTCTAAAAAAAGCAGATCTTGTTTTGACAGATGTTCCTCAGCTAAGGGATTCATGGCACCTAGAAATAAAAAGCACTTATTAAAACTAAGAGCAGGGCACAACAGCCACACACAAGGAACATTATTAGCTCAAATAGCCTCCCCTCTATCAAGAAAAAAAGATTAAAGTATATGGTGAAATCAATTAAACACTAAAAGCTTCAAAATTCTTCATTAAAGGTTACCCCAGGATTCTATCATTAAGAAATGATCTATGGAAAAATCTATATGGACATTCAGTGCAGTACTATTAATTGTAAGAAAATAGAAAAGAAATCTAAATTTCTAACAGTAAATAATGGTCAAGTAAATTATGTTATGTATGTTAATTGGGATACTATGAAGCCATTAAAAAATATGCTCATCAATTCAAGCAGCTCAATGAAAAAAAAATGTTTATAATTAATGTTAAAAAATCAAGGTGTAAAAAAGACATAAGAATGTCAATGCTAATTATAATTTTCAAAAGGTCTACAGACAAATAACAGAAAAAGTTTAAAAGGATGGCATTATGGGTACTTTATCACTCTCCTGCTTTCAATTTTCAAAAAAAATCTATTATATGATTTTCTTTAGTGATTATTTTTTTTTAAATATATTTTATTGATTTTTTACAGAGAGGAAGGGAGAGATAGAGAGTTAGAAACATCGATGAGAGAGAAACATCGATCAGCTGCCTCCTGCACATCTCCTACTGGGGATATGCCCGCAACCAAGGTACATGCCCCTGACCGGAATCGAACCTGGGACCCTTCAGTCTGCAGGCCGATGCTCTATCCACTGAGCCAAACCGGTTTCGGCTCTTCAGTGATTATTTTAATTTTCCTTATGAAGAACAGAAAACTAATAAATTCCATTAAAATTAAAGAATCTAAAGGGTACAGAAAAAAAACAATCCTAATAAACTTTACCAAAAAATAAAAAATAAAATGAGCATACAATTGGTATCAATGAGGATTTTTGTAATGTAAAATCAATATGAAGAAATAAAAGAAATCCCACAAAGTAAATATATATTTACCAATAATAAGCTGGCTCTCTCCAGATTCATTTGCATCACTAACACTACTAGCAGGGTAATCATTAAATAGACTCATGGATGACTGATTCTCCATCTCCTTTACATTTTCATCAGTGTCATCTTCCACTGATTCTGCTTGTCCATAGTCAAGTGGCTTTTTTATAAAGGAGACCTTCAAAAGAGAAAGAAAGATGTTTTTTCAAGTTGGCTTCTTTCCAAAGCACATTGTAATTAAAATTCACCTAATCATATGGCTCAAGATTCATATGCATGAACACTGCAGGATTATTTCTATTAAATGTCCAACAACAGAAAAATGGATATAAATAGTAATGTCTACCTAATAGAATAATATGCAATCTTTACAAAAAATTTCTTACACTAAGAAATTTTAATACTACCCAAAATTGATAACAGTGTGGAAAAAGGTATAAACTGATATGATTATTTTGAGGACAATTATTATATCCATCAAAAACATAAAATTCACATTCCTTCTGAAGAAGTAATTTCATTTCTAGAATATCTCCTTCATCCTTCATAGGTACAGATATAAGTAGACAAAACAACCTTTACCACAGAAAAAAATAGAAACTACTTAAAATGTTAATTAAGAACCAATGCACTGGGCTTCCAGTCAAGGCAGAGGTATAAATAAATGCAATACTCACATCCTCCTAGGAGCACATCAAAATTACAACTAAACTCCAGAACAACCATCACTCAGAATCACCTGAAATCTAGCTGAACAAAAGTCTGTATAAAAATATACAGAAGAAACCACAATGAGACTGGTAGAAGAGGTAGAGATACAGAGGGAGCTAGTCCCACACACGTGTTTTAAAAATCAGGAGGATATTTTGGCTGTGGAGATCCCCCTGAGGAGTGAGGGTTCCCAGCCCCAAACCAGGCCTCCAAACCCAGGATTCCAGTGCCAGAAGACAAGTCCCCATAACTTCTGGCTGTGAAAACCAGCAGGGATTGTGGTTGAGACAGAGGGCTGCTGGAGTCCCAGGTGTTCCTCTTAAAGGGCTCCACTGCAAAAACTTACTCAGATTCACTTGCTCTGAGCTCCAGCACTGGGGCAGCAGCTCAACAGGCACCAGGGACACACAGGGAGGAACTGAATTGTCTGGATATGGGGCGAAGACTGGAAGAGTGGCTTTTACCCAGACAGAAGTGCTGGCAAAAACCATTGTTCCTTTTCTGAGTCCCCTCCCCCCGACCCCACCACCTGGCACAGGGCCCACAGGCAAGCACCATATCTGAGTCTGATTAACTGTTCACCCCACCCTGGTAAGTCCCTGAGACAGTGCCCTACCCACCTTGTGGGCCCATCCAAGCAACTTCCAGTAGCTTTTCCATACAAGCAGCCTGTCTTGGCTCCTGCTGAAAACTTTCCCAAAATCTCTCAAAAGTTCACAAACCCTACCTCAACCAGCAGGATCTGGCCTCGGCATGCCTCATACCTCCTGCTAATGGTCCCAGGCCTGGCAAGAGCAACAGCTGGCCCCTGTTCACAGCACGGGCTCTCCCCATCACCTCCAAGCCCAGCACAGGTAGCAGTCTTCTGCAGATCGCTCTGTAGCTCATGCTGGGTGGCCCTGGGCAGGATATGGGTGGCAGCTGACTTTGGTCTGCACCTCCCAGAGGACTCCAGAGCTAGCGCACTAGGTGGACAGTGTCAGACAATGCCAGAACACCACCCAACCACCTCTACCAGCGGCACACTCAAGGTGAGAACTAATCAGGCACCAGAGCCCCACTGAAGCAAGTCCTGCTCCCTGGGGTTGGCCCCTACATAAGAGCTTGTCCATTGTAGTCACGGCCAGTTGTAGCCAACCGGCCTTGGGGTAAATACCTCCCATTGATGTGCCAACAACAATCAAAGCTCAACTACAACAGGAGGGGTCACAGAGCCAAGACACGGCACACCTGAAGTACCCAGCTAAAATGACCAGGGAGGCTGTGTCACTAGGCCCTTCAGGATACCTACTACATTAGACCACTCTGCCAAGACGGGGACATGTAACAGCTCTACCTACTACATAGAAGCCAGCACAGGGAGGCAGCCAAAATGAGGAGATAAAAAAAACATGTCTCAAATGAAACAATAGCACAATATCCCAGAAAAAGAATTAAACAAATGGAGACAAACAATACCAGGTGCAGAGTTCAAAACACTGGTTGAAGGATACTCAATGAACCTAGGGGAGGGGCAGATGAATTAAATGAACTTTAATAAGGAGAGGAAATATAAAAATGGAAATAGCAAACATAAAGAAGAACCCAATTAAAGATACACAAACTGAAATGAAGTTACTGGGAATCAACAACGGAGAAGATGAAGCAGAGTAGCAAACCAGCAACTGGAAGATAAAGTAGCAAAAAACACCCAATCAAAACAGCAAAAAGAAAAAGAATCCAAAAAATTGTGGACAGTTTAAGGAGCCTCTGGGACAACATCAAGCGTACCAACATTCACATTATGGGGGTGCCTCCCAGAAGAAGAGAGAGAGCCAAGAATTGAAATCCTATTTGAATAAATAGTAACAAAAAACTTTCCTAACCTGGTGAAGAAAATAGACATAGAAGTCCAGGAAATACAGAGTCCCAAACAAGATGAACTCAAAGAAGTCTACACCAAGACACATCATAATTAAAATGCCAAAGGTTAAAGACAAAGAGAGAATCTTAAAAACAGCAAGAAGGAACCCATTAGTTAGCTACAAGAGAGCTCCCATAAGACTGTCAGCTGATTTCTCAATAGAAACTTTGCAGGCAGGAAGTAGTGGCTCAAAATATTCAAAGAGATAAAGCAAGGACCTACAACCAACATTACCTAGGAAAGCTATCATTTAGAATGGAAGGATAAAGAGATTCCCGGACTAGAAAAAGCTAGTTCATCACCATCAAAACAGAATAAAAAGAGATAAAAAATATGAATAATAAAATGGCAATAAATACACTCAAACCTTATTTCTTGAACATCTCCCATCTTCAAACAATTTGGGTTTCGACCAAGTTATTCACAGCAAAAATGTCCCAATTGTTAAGTTTTGGTTTTCTACCTGACAACCCTTTCATGCTGATACCTCGGCATGACAAAAGGAATCTTTCAGGCAGCAAACAAAGAAGAGAATGCTTTTGTGGCTGGAGAAAACAAGGATTAGCACAATTTTAAAACAGAAAGAGGCCATCGAGAGTGCTAATATTGCTAAGTGTGAAAGAAACAACGATCACAGACAATTAAAGAGGCAGAAAAACTGTTGTTGGTTTGGACAGATGAAAAGCAGTTAGCCAGTGACAGCCATTTCTTGGAGGCAGTAATACACAGACAAGCAAAGATACTGTATGCAGACCTGAAAGACATCCCTAGACCGAATGCTAAAAGTGATTTGTTTAAGGCTAATAGGGAGTGTTTTGATAAATTTAAGAAAAGAAGTGTTTATTTATAGATTAAACAGTACATTAGACATGTACTGTATATAAGAAAGGCTAAAGAAGAAAATCATTTGGGGGGGTCTGAAACAGATTAATTCAATTTACATTATTTCTAATGGGGAAAAAATGATTTGATTTTCAAATAAATCGCTCCTTGAACAACCTTCTGGAATGAATTAAGTTCAAGAACCAAGATTCCATATCTATTAACAATTAATTTTAAAAATGCAAATGGACTAAATGCTCCAATCAAAAGACAAACTGGACTCACTTCACATCAAAAGACACATATAAACTAAAAGTATAGGGATGGGAAAAAATATGTTATAAAAATAAAAACAAACAAAAGAGCTGGGATAGCAATCCTTATAAAAGACAAAACAGAATTTAAAACAAAGGCTATAACCAGAGACAAAGAAGTACCCAGCAATTCCACTTACGGGTACTTATCCAAAGAAACCAAAAACACTAAAATGAAAAAATATATGCATCCATATGTTCCTTACAGAATTATCTACAATACCAAGATATGAAAGTCAACTAAGTGTCCATCAAAAGATGAACAGATGAAGTAAAAGTGGTGCATGCATACAATGGAGTATGAGTCAAACTGAAAAAAAGAATGAAATCTTGCCATCTGCAACAGCATGGATGGACCTGCAGATATTGTGCTGAGTGAAATAAGCCAGACAGAGAAGGACAAATGTCGTATGATTTCACTTATATGTAAAATCTAAAGAACAAAATAAATGAACCTGAACAGAAACAGACTCATAGATACAGAGAACATTTTCACAGTTGCCAGATGGGAGGGAATTGGGGAGATGGGGGACAAAGGTGAAGGGATTAAATACAAATTGGTAGTGACAGAACAGTCATGGAAATGTAAAGTACAGCGTAGAAAATATAGTTAATAATATTATAATAACTATGTATGGTGTCAGGTGGTACTAGATTTATCAGGGTGATCATTTGTAAGTTATATAACTGTCTAATCACTGGGTTGTACACCTGAAACTAACATAATATTGTAACATAAAATATAATTGAAAAATTTTAAATTACTTTTAAAAAAAGATCTGATGGGTTAAAACTACATATATACCATACCCATATAATAAAATATCAGGCTACTGCTAAAAAAGTGGAAGGTGTAATACTAAGCAGTGACATGAAAAAGTGACCAAGATTTATTATTAAATGAAATTAATTCAGTTAGAGAATATTTTTTTCACTCATTAGATATTTGAATATCCACTCTGTGTGCCAGGTATTATTCCAGTTAAAAAAGTATGCATCGCAGAGTCCATTTGTATGGAAGAAGAAAAACAAATACCATGATGAGACTATGTTCTGCTCTGGCAAGGTTTTTGCTTTTATTTTTATGAATAGAGAACTATGTTACAGAGAAATAGATATGAGCCTGGATGCTTAGTTCCTAATTGTTCAGTCTATTATTATTTATTGAGAATAATAAAAAAAAAAGCCAAGCACTGTGCTAGGTACTGATATTAAGAAGCAATGAAATATACCCACCCCCAAACCAAATAACTTTAATTTCCACATTTAGAAAGTATAAAATGCCATATATTGTGAAATGCATCATTTAAGAGATATTTCAATGGGGGGGGGGAAGCATCTTAAAATCAATGAAATATGGTAGTAAAACAAGAAGCATACTTACTAAACTTCTACAAATATCAGCAATATCATTCATTAGCTTTGATGTTAACAATCGTAGGAAAAAGCTAGATGCAATCTTATTTGGACTGTGCTGTAATGAAGTCGAACAAAAAAACCAAGCAAACAAAGAAATAAAAACAATTATTCTTGACAAATAATATTTTTCTCTATCTTGACTGAAATGTAAATTTTCCTTTACACTGAAAATTCTCTAACATAAAAAGCACAGATAAAGAGTTTGCTATTGGGGAGAAGTTATAAATTACTTCAAAAAATACTATTATCTTTCCTTAGACAATAATAACTACGTATCTACCACTGTGCATAAACAACATTAAAGTAAAATACCAGCTAATGACCCTAAACATAAGCAAGCAATAATTGTAGCTTACATTTTATTCTTCCTTTTCTCTCCTTCCCCACTTACAGCAAAACATACAATACCACATTACAAAACCAAAAATACATGCTGATAATATTGATACATGGTCATGTACTTAACATCAGCTTTCAAAATGTTTCCAATTATTTTTAACAATTTGAACTGGCTCAGCTACCCCCTCAGACCCGCTCCAAAACAAAACAAAGATTATACACAGTAGCACTCTTCCCACCAAACGTTATATAGGACTATATGGGCAAAAAGAGAGTAACATATGTGCTGGACTTATTTATCTTTGTGGTGCTCACTATCCCTGGTATAGTGGTATGCACATCAAACAGCTAGCAGTCAACACATTTTTATTATGAACTAGAGGCCCAGTGCATGAAAATTCGTGCACTCGGGGGTGGGGGGTCCCTCAGCCGGGCCCTCTCGCAGTCCAGGACCCCTTGGGGGATGTCCACCTGCCGGCTTAGGCCCACTCCCCAGGGATCGGGCCTAAACTGGCCGTCAGACATTCCTCTGGCAGCCCAGGAGCCCTCGGGGGATGTCCAACTGATGGCTTAGGCCCACTCCCCAGGGGATTGGGCCTAACCTGGCAGTCAGACATCCCTCTGGAAGTCTGGGAGCCCTCGGGGGATGTCTGACTGACAGACTAAGCCGCAGTTGGACATCCTTAATGCTGCCAAGGAGGCAAGAGAGGCTCCCGCCACTGCCGCTGTGCTCGCAACGGTCAGCCCGGCTTGTGGCTGAGCGAATCTCCCCCTGTGGGAGCGCACTGACCACCAGGGGGTAGCTCCTGCATTGAGCATCTGCCCCCTGGTGATCAGTGCACGTCACAGCAACCAGTCGTTCCCGGTCGTTCTGCCATTAGGGTAAATTTGCATATTACCCTTTTATTATATAGGATGAAAATATGCTGGCAGCAAGAGTCATGTATGTAGTATATAACAGTGGTAAAATAATCTCTGAAACCTTCCTGAAATGATGAAATTAGTTTCATGAGAAATTCTGATTATCTGTTGCTTTATTCCTCTGGATATTACCTTTTATTTTCCATTCAATTTAATTTTATATCAGTGTGTAAACTTACAAATGGACCAAAAAACAAAAAATAATAACAACACCAACCAGTTATCAATCCCCTAGGAAGGCTATACTGTCAAGCAGGAAGAACATCTTACCTTGTTACAGTTACATAAGCAACTTGTACATAGATGCATCATATTTCTCAATGAAACAATTCTAGACTCCTCATTTGTCTTATTTTTAAACAGAGTAACACTTTCTCCAGCACACTGCATTAGAGACTATTAAAAATAAAGAAGGAAAAATTCAAATTTCAGTTAAAATTAGAGTTTAATGACTGCTTTTAAAAGTTTTACTTAAAGGTAAAATTAAGTATTTAAGAAGTTATACTTGATTTATAGCATAATTAAAAATTACTAACAATTTTTAAAGGACATATATTATCCCATTCGTACAAATCACACAACTGACAGTAGTACCCAGAGATGAAAATAAGTTTCATGCTGAGTGCCTACTTGATTAATACTCTTAGTCAAGGATTCTTTAGGATAACTGATCACAGGAAAACTTTTTAAAGTAAGATAAAAATAAGAATTTTTGTTAAGATTAAATTTTAATGTAATATTATTTCAATTACTGTATTTATTTTTGGCTTAAAATAATTTCACATCTCAAGGAAGAACACACAGTATCATTTCTTCTCAGGCTACATAAATACAAGGGAAATGGTTAACCTACATAAATATTTGTGCTTTCTAAACATGTATACTAATTTTCCCAGGGATATATTTCATTCAATTAATCCAGAACTTACATAAATTCTCATACCTTGGCTTTCTGGAATAATTCTGATTTATATGCTTCCTCTTCAGTTATTACACCAATATGACAATAGCAACCAAGAACACCCACCAAAAGACTTGAACACCGGACAAGCATTTCTGTATTTGAAGTCTTAAAAGTAAAACACAAATAAAAACATATAGTTTATAAGTAATCTGAGTACACTATGATTATCTATATATATAAAAGCCAAGCGACCGGAACGACGGAACAACTGAACGACCAGTTGCTATGATGTGCATCTGATTGGGACCCCAATCGGCTCCCCAAAACTGCCCGTGGCCCCTCCCCCTGCTGACCTGGCCCCCAATCGGCCCCCACCACCCCAATCAGGGGTGGGGCCAGCTGGCCAACCTCCTGCATCCCCTCCCCGCCACCAGCCCGGCCCCGATCGGTCCTGTGCACAAATTCATGCACCAAGCCTCTATTCTCTTATAAGAAAAAATTTATGTACATAATAAGAAACATTAAATACAGTAAATTGAGTTAATAGTGGCATAATTCTGGTTATCTCTAAAAAACATCTAAGAGATCCTTGAAGAATTGTGATAACCAGGATTCTCAAGAAAACAGTGGAAGTATGTAATCATGGCCAAGTAAGACATCTCCTCTTAAAGTAGCCCAGTGTTCTGCACACAAAGGCCCTTAAGTATTTGAAGGAGGAAGAAAAAAAAAAACCTGATAGGCAAATAAGTGTCTGTAACTCTTAGAACAGACACAGAAATTAGATTCATATAAAGAAATATTAAAATGACCTTGTGAGCTTCTAAAGGACATGAACCTTAACTTATTCAGCTTTTTAGATTCCATGGACTAACACAAATATTTTTTGCAAGTAGGTACTGTTTAGCCAATTTTATAAAATTATTAATGATTTTGCCAAGGTTACACAGAAAAACTAGATTTTTGTTGTTGTTGTTGTTCCTATATTGTAGGAAATGGCATTTTAGGGGAAAACACAGAACACCATGTTACTTTGTAATGAAAGTGGTTACAACTGTGATCCTGAAGAATGTCAGTTACTAAGGTTAAGGCAGATGAAACAGGCACAGTGTCCCTTCTCTGGTTCTTTAGCTCACTATTCCTGGCTAATGAATTCACTTCTTTGAGTAGCTTATAGTTTTTATTTTATTCAACAAATACTTTATCATCTACCATGTAACAAGGCTTGTGGCAGATACAAAAATCATTAAAAATACATATATGCCCTTTAAGGAACTTATAGCATGGCTTAAGAGGTATTTGTGTATAAAATATAAACACAAATTATGGTACAAGGAAGATGCTAAGTATCCTTTCAAAATAGAAATATTAAGTATTATGAAAATCAAAAGATGAATTATTATGGCTGAGATTATCTAAGAAAGGCTTTAGCAAGGATTGTGACATTCAGTTTCAATTATATGCTTTGGTGTTATAACAGTTCCCTCCACAAAACTGAGTCACTTTTTCATCAAATTGCTCTACTCAAAACCATTACTATTATTAACCATAAACCCACCCAAAGAATTCTACTTCTATGGTATTTACCAGAGTTTTTGGTACAAAGAGTATCAAATTATTATTCTTTGATTTTCCTTTTTTCATGCTGTTTTCACTATTAGCTGACATGTGTTGTCACTTTGCTTTTAAAAGGAAGCTTCTCACCATTCTTAGTGCCTTTCCTGCCTGTTTCTCCTTCCTAAACAGTCTACAAAGTGGAATGAAATATGGGCCTTCGTCATTTTTAAAAATCTCACCTCAGATGAATAGTTATTTAGAAGCTGTTTTGATAATCCCAGAAGATAGCGATCCAGTGATTCCTTGAGATTTGGATGGACAGAAAAGCCTCTACTAGATTGGTGCTTTTCTAATGCACATTTTTCCACAACAGCTAAAAAATCCATCTTGTCAAAAGATGTCTGAAGAAATAGTTCTTCAACTGCTGAGAATGAAGGCTCTTCTTTCTCATTTTGGTGCTGTTCACTTAAAGAAAGTAAGATCTTTTATTTATAATTAAACTACCTAACATTTCATCTTCATATAACAGCAATATAATACAAATGAAAATATTAACTTATTCAAAGACTGTTTATACAAGCATTAAATTATTCTTTTAAATGCTCCTCTTTGGACTTTGATACCTACTTGAACCAAATTTCATTATTCAGCAGCAAATTTTACTAACAGATGCACAGAACAAATACAAATTTCAATCTCAAAGAAAATTCAGAAAGTATTAAAAAGAAAACACTAATAACACCAGATATAAACATGAAAATAACATTATAAAGCATTTCCTTTTTTTAACCTTTGATTTCTCCAAAATGTAGATTTTTTTTCATCTTAGCCCTTTTGAGGGAGATTAAAAATCTTCATGCCAGTCATAGTGAAAAAACAAACAAACAAAAAACCCCTTGAGTCCATGAACTAAAATGAGGCTTTAAAATTTATTTTTGTTTTCACTTTCTTCAAATATCATTTCCGTGTTTTTTTTAAAATATATTTTATTGATTTTTTTACAGAGAGGAAGGGAGGAATAGAGAGTTAGAAACATCGATGAGAGAGAAACATCAACCAGCTGCCTCCTGCACAACCCCTACTGGGGATGTGCCCACAACCAAGGTACATGCCCTTGACTGGAATCGAACCTGGGACCTTTCAGTCCGCAGGTCAACGCTCTATCCACTGAGCCAAACCGGCTAGGGCCATTGCCGTTTTTTATCATTCGTTTTTGAAGGTCACATAGTCAGATTTTTCTTTTATTTTATTTTTTTATTTTTAATGACTATTTTTTTATTTTGTTTAGATTTTTCTTTTAATTGATTTTTAGGGAGAGGGACAGAGAGAAATATTGATGTGAGAACAAAACATTAATCAGCCACCTCCTGCCAGGGATTGAACTCACAACCTAGGTATGTGCCCCAACTGGAATCAAACCAGCAACCCCTTGGTGCATTGGACAATGCCCAACCAACTGAGCTTATATATTATAAGAAACATTTCCCTAGCTAACAGTTGCGATTTTTTAGTTGACCAATTTAGTTCAACATTTCTAAGATGCAATTAAAGATATAACTTAAAAAAAACACAGAACTCTATTAGATAACATACCATTCCGGCACACTCTGGAAAAAATTCATTGCAGCTTTACAGTTTTTCATAGTGAGACTCACAAGAATTTTCTCCAGTGCAAGATGAGGAAAATTACTATAAAGGAAAATAAAAATCTTCACTTAGAACACCAAAGCCATTTAAAGTATTCTTTAAACTTAAACATCAATGTCTGACTTTAGTATATATACCTCTAAAATTTGGATCCAAAATTAAAATTGCTTTCACCTATACTGAATGTCTTAACATGTGAAAGAATTTAAGGAGCATACATTTTATGTTACTATTATTTTTAACACTTTCTAGAAGCAAAATCATGTGCAAATTTGTAAAGCTCATTTCAGAAATAAAACAATTATGAAATTAAAGTACTAGGATCCAGATGACTGTCCTCCAATCACTCAGTTCCAATTATTGACTATGGAAAGGTTACGTGGGCAAGCTACTTATGCCCTATTTTGCCTTTTTCTCATTTCATCCATCCGCTAATTTAACATATTTCACCCAGAAGATACTCTCATTATGATTCCAGGATACACCTGAGTTGGATATATGTTCAGGTGGATCTATTTACAGAAGATCACAAAAGAACACATAAGTGCTCAAAGAGTTATATGCACATTCATTGTGCACATCCCTCTTATTCTCACTGTGTAGACAGAGTGACAAAAATAAAGTAAAAGTACATGGACTAAGATCCAGGCAAAAAGAAAGTAAACTGTAACAACAAAGGGACTATTTAATATTTGGGCTAGCTCTGGGAAATCCTGCATTATCACTGTAAAATAAAGCCACCTAGCATCAAATAGTAATGGATGGTGCCTGACTAAACAAAACCAAAAAACAACAGCACACCAATGAACTCAAACTACCTGTGAAGAATTGGGGGAAGCTCCGTACTGTTTTCAAAGTCATCTTCTAACTGATAGAATAAGAGCCATTTCATTATCAATTCCTTTAAAGAAAAACTTCTGTTTACTTCGCATATATTCTGCTCCATTCCCATTTTTACTGTTTCTGGAACTACACAGGTGGTCAGTGCCAAAGTCAAACAGGATATCACAGGACTATAACAAAACAAAGAATGATTAGTGTTATAAGTAACCTCTTTAAGAATGTAGTACTACTAAAACAATAAGGGTTATGAATATTGAGCAAACAAGTGGTAAATTGTCAAATTACCCATAAAAAATTTAAAACATTTAATTCTTTTAAACTGACTGCAGTAATCTCTCCACATTTAAAACTAAATTTACACTTATTTATTAAGACTTCCTGGACAAACATTAAAAGCATCTGAAATAGAATTTAACAATCTTTAACTGAAATTCCAAATTCCAAAAATCAGGGGGTAGATGAATATACAGCACCATTCCAAAAATGTACACACACTTTGAATAATTATTAATTCCAATGGGTTAAATCTGAAAAGAAAGAAACCCTAACTGGGCTATCAGCTGTTAACACATTGTATGCGGGAAACGTATTCATACGTTTTATAAATACGTTTCCCGCATACAATGTGTTAAAGTGTGGATACATTTTTTTGGGACACCTTGTATACAGAGGTTGTCAAAAGTAGGTTTACAGTTGTCCGTATGGAAATAATACAAATAAATAATACAATTAATCTATATATATAAAAGCTTAAGCAACCATCCAACCTGCCAACCGGTAGCTATGATGTGCACTGGCCACCAGGGGGCAGACGCTCAACACAGGAGCTGTCGAGCTACGTGACTTGGCAGCTGCAGTTCTCAGGTGATGAGCCTGATTCTGGGGTGTGTCACCCAAGAACCGCCCTCTGCAATCCGGGACCCCTCGCGGGATGTCAGAGAGCTGGTTTCGGCCTGATCCCCGCAGGCCAGGCCGAGGGACCCCACCGGTGCATGAATCCGTGCACTGGGCCTCTACAAAAATAAACTCTGTGTTTGCGTACTCACAAAGATAAATCTACTGCTACTTTTGCCCACCCCTGTGTGTGTGTATATATATAAATAAAATATGTAAATATGAAAATTGCAAAATCTAATACAATGCATAGTCAACTTACCATGAAGGTCTGCAGGCTGACCCAGTAAATAACTTCCAGAATTCTCTGTCAATCTCAACTAAGCTCCCTTGAATTATGGCTCCAAGTAAGCCAAAATTTTCAGCTTGTATTTGTTCAAAACTTATATTGCGAAAGGTAATAGACCAAATTTTAATCCAGAGTTTCAATAACTCTGACTTTTGTGAGCTTTCTAGGTTTGATTTCTTGCCTTGACACAATGCAATTTCCATAAGGCATCGTAATACATATGGTGTGCGTTCCCCACGTCGCTGTTGAGGTAGAAGCTGACATAGTATCATCAATAATGGTGATAGCTCACAGTTAGGTAAACATGCAGGATATTTTGATATTAATTGAATTACAATCTGTAACCTGAAAAAAATTATAATTAATTTGAAAATTACTCAATTCTACTAACAAGCTAAAAAATCAATGTATAGCTATAGTACCATTTATAATACCCTAATTAGAATATCACCATCATTATTTTCCGTACTGCTCTCATAATACACTGGCTCTTAATTTTTATTAGGCCCTACTTCCTAAAGTGTCAAGAAGTTACAGCTTTTTGTCTAGCTGGGTAAGCTATATTTCCCTTACACAAAAACTTTTAAAGAAAAACTAAATTAGCAATATTATATTCCTGCGTTATTGCACCCATTCCTGTTCTTCAGCCACCGATAATATTCCTTCAAACCAGAAAAACAAACAAAACCTCAAAAAACGGTTTTTCCTTGACATTAATTCAGTTAATTCAATAAATATTTGCTATGAGTTCTCCAAAATGAGTGCTATTCAGGAATAGAAACTTTATCTTATTCACTTCTGCATCGCTAATGTTTGGCACATAGCAGCTGTTCAATAAATAACTCTTTACTGAATGGACAAATTAACTAATTGAACTAGGTACCCTCAACTATATAAAACAAACATGAGCTTAAACAAGAGGTATCTAAATAAATACGCTTTCCCCCGCACAACTCAATTATATTTAAACATTACATCAACATAGTAAATATCAAAAGAACACTAATCATAGTTTGACTATAATCTTCAAATTTCCAACAGTCCCTAGGCAGGCTGCTTAACCTTTCTCAGTTTCACTTATTTCTTTTGTACAGCAAACAGGCTGAACTGGATGAATTCTGAAGATTTCTACCATACCAACTTTTTTTTTTTCCCACAGAATTCCACTGATTATTTAATTATTTAAATAATTGTGAGTACTATGTGAGACAAGAAAAAAAACAGCCTTTTGTCATGGCATAAGGTCCAAATATGTGTGATTTCTGGATGTTATCCTTAATTTCTCTTTTTGTTTTGTTTTGTTAATCCTCACCTGAGGATATTTTTCCATTGATGTTTAGGGAGAGTGGAAGAGAGAGGGAAAGACAGAGAGAGAAACACATCACATCGACTGTATAGGGCCCAGGCCGGGGAGGAGCCTGCAACCAACATACGTGTCTTTGACTGGAATCGAATCTGGGACCCTTCAGTACGCACACCGACACTCCATCCACTAAGCCCAACCAGCTAAGGCATCCTGAATTTCTTCCTAATATAATTCTACAAAAAGGTGCTATGCATGTTAACTCTCTTTATACTGAGGTGTACAACTGAATGAATTCCATGAGTCATACTAGTGATTGCCTAGGAGGCATCCATTCTCGCTTATTCCTTGCTATGGCAATATGCTTAAGAAAAGTGGCCCTGTCCCTGCAACAGCAGATGAGCCATGGTGGTTGATCTCAACAAGTCCTGGCAATCATTTTCCCTTTGTCAGTGAATGGTTTGGGAGCAAATGACCTCATTCTGGCCAAGGAAATTATCCTACTGGCTAATGAGATTAAAGGAGGTCTTTGTGAGAAAAACTAAATGAGACTAAAAGGACACTGAAAGAGGGGGAAAAAGTTATATTTTACCAAGGCACAAGTTCAAAATCACTCTGTGACTTCTGGAGATGATCTTTTATTACATCCCAGCCTAATTCTATTTTCCTCTTTTTGCAAGGTACACCATATTCTCTTTGTGTGGTAGTATAAGACTGGGAAATCTCCAAAGATCTGGTATCTTCATTAAAAACCTGTAAAATAAAAAAATAAAGATTTATTTTTTATGAACTATTAGAAAACAACATCACTCCTCAAATGAAGATACAAGAAGTCATAAAGTAACAAACAATTTTGCATGACTGCAATGGCTCTCTAGAGAGCAAATATTACCAAAAAGAGTATTAGCTTTATTTCCGGCAATATTTATTAAAAAAAACACCAAGATATCTAAAAGCAAAGCAAAAACCTCTTTTTTCAAAGGAATTAAATCATAAATTTAGCATTAAGAAAATATTGACAAGTAAAATGATCTAGGATGTTAACCAAATCTTGAGGGAAAAAGTTTTACTTCAGAAACATTAAGCTATCAAATGATGAATGAGTAACAAAACGTAAAACAGCCACACAATTGAATATTACTCAGCAATTTTAAAAAATGAAATACTGATTCAAGGTAAAATATGAGTAAAACTTGAAAACATTATCCTAAGTGAAAGAAGCCAGTCACAAAAGACCACTTATGTATGATTGTACTTACATGAAATGTTCAAATTAGGAAAAACAGATAGACAAAGTAGGTTCAGCAATTTTAAAAAAGGAAATACTGATTCAAGGTAAAATATGAATAAAACTTGAAAACATTATCCTAAGTGAAAGAAGCCAGTCACAAAAGACCACTTATGTATGATTGTACTTACATGAAATGTTCAAATTAGAAAAAACAGATAGACAAAGTAGGTTAGTGGTGGGTTGCTAGGGACTGGAAGAAGTGGGGAATTAGGACTGACACTAATAGGTGAAAAGTTTGGGGTAATGTTCTGTAATTAAATAGAGGTGATGGGTATAAAGCACAGTGAAAATACTTAAAAATACTAAATTGTACACTTTAAAATAACACATTTTGTGCTGTGATTTCTAACTCAGTAAAACCAAAAAACAGAACAACAACAAAGAAACATTAGGGTTAGGGTAATCTTATTTCCTATAGATAATATATTAAGAATGAAAAAGTTCATCATCACTTTTCACTAAATTTATAATATACAGAACAGTTACCTTTTAAGTCAGAAGGCAATTCTAAATATTTATGGTGCTTTGAAAAGAGTAGTTACATGTACAAAGCAATTTTACAGGCTTTTTATCAGAACACAGATTTTAAAAGCCCAGTAAAAAAAATTAACAAGAAATGTTAAAATGTGACAAGATCTACTGTACCTGGTGACAAACATCTGCCATCAAGTCAATCAAGTTTTCTTTGACAGCAATGTTACGAGATCCTGAGGAATATTTCCCTCTGCTCCCTATATGACTTATCTCATTAACTAGCAGATCATATAAGTTGTATAAGATACTTTTCCATTTTCTTGATTCATAAGCACCTGTAATTCAAAAAATTATATATTCCATTTGTACCACCAATTCCCACAAAATTATTCATCTGTTAAGGTGAAAACAACATTAGAAGACATATGGTCCAACCTTCTATTCAGTACTAATGCCTCCTCTGACAATATCTTTGACAAGATCTACTTCATATCAGTGTCCATTTCACAATTAATTGTATTTGTTATAAAATTCTTCCATATTTTGATCTAAACTTTCTCTAATCAACTCAATCAAAATCTCAACCAAGCTTTCTCTAATTTCTTCTTTCCCCTGAAGCAAATACAGTGGATGTTTCCCTCTTTTGTATGAGGACCAAGTTATCTGTATGTCTAAGAAAGAAACATCCTTCAACTAGTGTACAAATAATATGTTATCCACAATTCTCCTTATCCCAGTCCTCTTTCCCTAGATACACTCCAGTCTACTTATTACTCAGCAATTTAAAATGCTGACTCTTAAAATGCTGACTTTACACATACCTTCGCTACTAATACTTCCACTGTGATCTGACCAGTATGGGGGGACAATGGGCTATTACTTCCCACAAACAAAACAGAAAACACGAAATCTACTTACTTAGCCTTATGCTACAGTAGCATTTCTGGCAGCCTCCTCATCCTGCCAATTTTTGATTCATCCTAATATGCAGTTAACTAAAACCCTAAACATGTCATACCATCTTCTAATAAACCTGATTTTCATCTTGGTGAGAGCTATGTGAAAGATGATAAACTAAGAAAAATTACCATTCTTTGACTCACAGTGGTTACATGGGTTAAAAATATATCTAACCATATATACTAGAACTTATGTAATACACACAGCTACCTTTGATTTTAAAAAGTGGCTACAGCAGTTCTCCCTTGTTTTAGGGACTATTACTCAATGCAGAATGATATCTTAATAAGGTCATTAAACTAGTCAGGATGAATTGGTCCAAAGGCTAGTACAAGCCCAAAGGCAAACTCAGGCTGAGCATGAGAAAACTCATTCTGTTCCAGGTCCACCCAATAAAGTTCCTGTCTACTGAATGGAGCTACACCATCCAAGCAATACTCTCTTGATGAAAGACAAATGTGAAGGACTAAGAGTGCGTGGGTCATTCATTTCTGGTTTCCCAGTAAACAGGGGCCTGGAGTAACTATGAGGTTTAAGGCTATATGTATAAATCTTCCTTGGGCCCTGACTAACCTGATTGGCTATTTTCAGCCCTTATTTATCTATTTTATCTTCTAATAAAAGCAATGTGTGGGTAAATAAGACCATGCCTTCTCTAAATTCTTTTACACTTAGTCTATGTCATACCTCTCAGCAACTAATTATTGCTGCATAATTAACTCCTAGAGGGAATAGTAGCTCATATTTGTTTGTATTCCTCATAATATCTAGCATTATACTAATCAAAAGGGTAAGGCAAAATATGATTTTCTACCACAGCTCCAAATTCTAAAAACATGTGTGTGAAAAATATCATCATGAAAAATATCATCATGACTAATATCATCAGTAAGCACAGCAATCCAAAAGTAGGTCATTACCTCCTCCAAAATACGGATTTCATGCTTAAGCCTCTATGTTTCAATGAAGAAGCAAATTCAAAACAGCAAAAACTTCCTTTATACCTTTTTCTTGGGTTTTGGCTCCCTTTGGATGATGAATATAAATTTGCAGTTGAAATAATTCAATAATTACTTCTTTTAAGGAATCATTAAGTCTATGTTGAGTCCAAATATAAATAAAGGTAGGAAGAATTTCATCTCCTAACTCACACACTTTAATTCGAAAGTTGACAGCCAAAGCCTTGAGGAAGATAACAAATGCTGCTAAGATATGATTGAAACCTGCAGAGGTCTGTTCTTGTCTGTGAAAGAAAATAAAGACACTCAAATTGGTTTAACAGGGAGAAAAATACACAAACTGAAGACAGTTATGAAGTTGCATGCTGAAATAAAACAATATCTAATTTTCAAATAATAGTTTCAGAACTATTCTCACACACACACACACACACACAAATAACAGCAGCACTACATAGCAACAAAAAAAAGTTCTTCTTTGGTGCTAAGTATCACTCCTGTTAGCTCTCTCTGCTTCTGGAACACTGTCTAAAATTACACAAAACTGATTTGTAATACCTACCATTTATAAACTGTTTCACATTAATAAGTGGGTAATACAACACAAATATAAGATATTGATATTTCCAAAATATACTATTTTATTTTATTCTTATTCTCAAAAATGGGAAAAACAAAACTACTTAGAGGGCATTTAGCTTTCCTGCCATTAGAAAAGCAAGAAAGAGGTCTCACTTAGGAACATCATTTCATGGTCTGTACGCAGGATATTCAGGAAGTGTTGGACCTAACTAGTACTTCCTTTGGGAATCCACTAGTCCTACTATAATGAGCCAAGTTTTAAAAGTTGGTAGAATTTTTAGTTACTGAATCAAAAACATGGTTTTCAAGATCAAATGGATTTTCAATAAAATACAAAAAGATTAAATTACCTTGCATTCTGAATAGCCTTAGAAAAACAATCCAAAAATTTGGGATTTAATCCATCAGTTTGTGAACAGCATCCTTTAGTCACAGCATGAATGATTCTAGCCAATAATACTCTGTTAATGTCTTGTGAAGGATTGAGATATAGCTTGAAGTACACAGAGAACAATTCTTTAAAAAAAAAAGTATTAGTTATGCTTTTTAAAAAGTATCAAATCATTTAACTTAAATGTCACAATTTAAGTTTCAATAATTTCACACAAAAATATTTAAATAATACTATTTAAATACAGTGAAAACATTCCATCAATATTTAATTGTATCCTACCTAATAATAGACAAACATGGTAATTGACCATACCTTCGCTACACCTCCCATTGGCTAATCAGCGCAATATGCAAATTAACCGCCAACAAAGATGGCAGCTAATTTGCATACTGTAGGCAGGGCGGGTCAGTGCCATACCACTTGCCCCGCCGCCATCCAGGCCTGCTATTTGCCACCCAGGGCGGTGGGGCGGAACAGTGCCATCCTGCCTGCCCTGCCGCCATCCGGGTCAGCTGTCTGCGACCCGGGGTGGCGGGACGGGGCAGCGTGGCTCCTCTGTCACCCCAGCTTCCTCATCACAGCTCCCTTGGGGGCCTAAGCCTTTAGTCGGACATCCCCCGAGGGCTCCCTGGCTGCCAGAAGGATGTCTGACTGCAAGCTTAGGCCTGATCCCCCGGGGAGTGGGCCTAAGTCGACAGGTGGACATCCCCCAAGGGGTACTGGAGTGCAAATGGGCGCAGGCCGGGCTGAGGGCCCCCCCCAGTGCACAAATTTTTGTGCACCAGGCCTCTAGTTTTATATAAGTTGCGTTCAAGACAAGAACAACTTAAGCAGCAGAGAACAGAAACACATTTGAGAGCCAGACTTCAGATAAGCAACTTAACTTCTCTAACCCTATGTTCCTTCATCTAGGCCTAACAAAGCACTTGACACAGTGCACATTCCAGATTTGTTTTGTTTTGTTTTAATGCCGTTGGATTAATAGTAGAAAATTTATTTCTCACAGAAATAACAGTAGGGTATGTTCATTTTTGCATAAGTTCCTCAATGTCAAAAGCAAAGTGAAGAGGAACAGGTGAAACAGGTATGAACACTGAGCTATGGAGAGAAACCCCAAGCTTATAATAATTAAGGAAACTTGCCCTAGCCGGTTTGGCTCAGTGGCTAGAGTGTCTGCCTGCAGACTGAAGGGTCCCAGGTTCAATTCCAGTCAAGGGCACATGCCTGGGTTGCAAGCTCCATCCCCTGGGGGGGAAGGGGGAGGCGGGTGCAGAAGGCAGTCAATCAATGATTCTCTCTCATCATTGATGTTTCTGTCTCTCCCTCTCCCTTCCTCTCTGAAAACAATAAAAATATATTTAAAAAAAAATAAAGTGTAACTCTTTTAAAAATCTACACTAATAAAAAAGAAACATGGTAGTTAGCGTACGACCGCTACCCTTCCCATTGGCTAATCAGCATATCCTTATGCAAATTAACTGTCAGCCAAGATGGCGGCCGGCAGCCATGCACTGAAGCGAGCAGGGAGGCTTGCTTGCTCCAGTGACTGCGAACTCCAACGTTCCCCGCTTGACTAACTCGCTGGCCTCTCAGCTGCAACTCTAAGCAACTATGTACTATGTTGCAAATAAGAAGCTAAACAAAACCCCAGAAACCAGCCGGACTGAAAGCCAGCCGGACCACAACATTGTATCGATGTTTTCAGCAGCGAGGCCTCAGAGCTAAAGCTGGCCCAGAATAAAAAAAAAAAGAAAGAAAACAAGGAGCGGTTGGAAGCTTCAGTCACTCGCCAGCCGGAAAACAGCCCTCAGCCCCTCACCCAGACTGGCCAGGCACCCCAGTGGGGACCCACACCCTGAAGAGTGTGTGACCAGCTGAAAACAGCCCTCAGCCCCTCACCCAGACTGGCCAGGCACCCCAGTGGGGACCCACACCCTGAAGAGTGTGTGACCAGCTGAAAACAGCCCTCAGCCCCTCACCCAGACTGGCCAGGCACCCCAGTGGGGACCCACACCCTGAAGAGTGTGTGACCAGCTGAAAACAGCCCTCAGCCCCTCACCCAGACTGGCCAGGCACCCCAGTGGGGACCCACACCCTGAAGAGTGTGTGACCAGCTGAAAACAGCCCTCAGCCCCTCACCCAGACTGGCCAGGCACCCCAGTGGGGACCCACACCCTGAAGAGTGTGTGACCAGCTGAAAACAGCCCTCAGCCCCTCACCCAGACTGGCCAGGCACCCCAGTGGGGACCCACACCCTGAAGAGTGTGTGACCAGCTGAAAACAGCCCTCAGCCCCTCACCCAGACTGGCCAGGCACCCCAGTGGGGACCCACACCCTGAAGAGTGTGTGACCAGCTGAAAACAGCCCTCAGCCCCTCACCCAGGCTGGCCAGGCACCCCAGTGGGGACCCACACCCTGAAGAGTGTGTGACCAGCTGAAAACAGCCCTCAGCCCCTCACCCAGGCTGGCCAGGCACCCCAGTGGGGACCCACACCCTGAAGAGTGTGTGACCAGCTGAAAACAGCCCTCAGCCCCTCACCCAGGCTGGCCAGGCACCCCAGTGGGGACCCACACCCTGAAGAGTGTGTGACCAGCTGAAAACAGCCCTCAGCCCCTCACCCAGGCTGGCCAGGCACCCCAGTGGGGACCC